CCCTTATTCATATATTTATTTTTCTTTGCTTGGAAAAGAATTAAACCCAAACCACCTTGTCCAGAAAAATCCCCCCGGAGCAAACAGCGACACCCCCCCCACACCCCACCCCCTCAACACACATCGCTCTGTCCCCCTCCCGGGGACAACTTTTTTGGGGGGGGGAGAAGACAGGACTGTCCCTGCCTGGGTGGCACAGGGACGGTGCGGTTGGGGCAGTGGGTGCTGAGGGGGCTGCCCTTGTTTTCGGCTGCGGCAGGTCGGGCTCCGCCAGCATGATGGAGGAAGGGCCCCCCAACTCCAGCCATGGCCAGCAAGGGCGGTTCGCGGCCAGGAACGGCAGCGCCGGCTCCTTGGACCTGGAGTCGGTGGTGCAACCCCTCGCCTTGAACCCGTGGGATGTCATCCTCTGCATCTCCGGGACCATTATCTCCTGCGAGAACGCTATCGTGGTGGTGGTCATCTTCTACACCCCGGCTTTCCGGGCTCCTATGTTCCTCCTCATCGGGAGTTTGGCCACGGCCGATCTCCTGGCCGGTTTGGGGTTGATCCTACATTTCGCCTTTGTCTACTTCATCCCGTCGGAGGCGGTCAGCCTGCTCACAGTGGGGCTCCTGGTCACCTCCTTCACAGCCAGCGTCAGCAGCTTGCTGACCATCACCATTGACCGTTACCTGTCCCTCTACAACGCCCTGACCTACTACTCGGAGCGGACGGTCACCAGGACTTACATCATGTTGATCCTCACCTGGGGAGCCTCCATCTGCTACGGGCTCCTGCCCATCATGGGCTGGAACTGCCTGAAGGAGCCCTCCGCCTGCAGCATCGTCAAGCCCCTGACGAAGAACCACCTCATCATCCTCTCTGTCTCCTTCTTCATGGTCTTTGCGGTGATGCTCCAGCTCTACGTGCAGATCTGTAAGATCGTCTGCCGGCACGCCCACCAGATCGCCGTCCAGAGACATTTCCTGGCCAGTTCCCACTACGTCACCACCCGAAAAGGCATCGCCACCTTGGCCGTCATCCTGGGCACCTTCGCTTCGTGCTGGCTGCCCTTCGCCGTTTACTGTCTCCTGGGGGATTACAGCTACCCGGCCCTCTACACCTACGTCACCCTCCTCCCCGCCACCTACAACTCCATGATCAACCCCGTCATTTACGCCTTCAGGAACCAGGAGATCCAGAAAGTGCTGTGGACCGTGTGCTGCGGGTGCTTCTCCTCCACCATGCCTTTCCGGTCCCGCTCCCCCAGTGACGTCTGACGAGTGTCCCCGTCCCCCCCCTTATTCCCCTCCAGCCTCTCTGCACCTTTCACTTACCGATTGCGGGTTGAGGGGATTTTCTTTTTTTTTTCTTTTTTTTTTTTTTTTTTTTTC